CAACACAGTTACTTATTGCTGATGATACTGTGCTTATGGGAGATTCTAAAGAAAAGTTGCGAAGGTTAGTGGACGAGTTTGGGAGTGTGTGTAACGGTACAAAGTTGAAAGTGAACATAGAAAAGAGTAAGGTGATGAGGGTATCAAATGATTTAGATAAAAATTAGATATCAAATTGGAGAGGAGTATGGAAGAAGTGAATGTTTTCAGATATTTTGGAGTTGACGTGTCAGCGGATGGATGTATGAAGGATGAGGTTAACCATAGAATTGATGAAGGAAAAAAGGTGAGTGGTGCATTGAGGTTTATGTGGAGAAAAAGAAATATTATCTATAGAGGCAAAGAAGGGAATGTATGAAAGTATAGTGGTACCAACACTCTTATATGGATGTGAAGCTTGGGTTGCAAATGCTGCAGTGAAGAGGCAGCTGGAGGCAGTGGAGATGTCCTGTCTAAGGGCAGTGTGTGGTGTAAATATTATGCAAAGAATTTGGGGTATGGAAATTAGGAGGAGGTGTGGAGTTACTAAAAGTATTAGTCAGTGGGCTGATGAGGGATTGTTGAGGTGGGTTGGTCATTTAGAGAGAATGGATCAAAGTAGAATGACTTGGAGAGTGTATAAATCTGTAGGGAAAGGAAGGCAGGGTAGGGGTCATCCTCAAAAAGGTTGGAGGGAGGGGGTAAAGGAGGTTTTGTGGGTGAGGGGCTTGGACTTCCAGCAAGCATGTGTGAGCATGTTAGATAGGAGTGAATGGAGATGAATGGTTTTTGATACCTGACGAGCTGTTGGAGTGCCAGCAGGGTAATATTTAATGAAGGGATTCAGGGAAACTGGTTATTTTTATATAGCCGGACTTGGGTACTGGAAATAGGAAGTATAATGCCTGCACTTTAACCCATAAATGGTCCAAGCGTAAATATATGTTTTTTCAACATGTGACAGTATTTAAAAAATGTAGATCTTTTTTTTTTACATTTGAAAATGTGTAAAAAACTTTGCTCTACTTTTTTTTTTTTTGTTATATTTGAAAATATGTAAAAAAAAACATAGATCTACTTTTGGAGCACTACACATGTGAACGTAGATCTGCTTGGACCGTTTACGGGTTAAAGGAGGGATTTGGGATATTGGCAGTTTGGAGGGGTATGTTATATATGCTTCTAAACTGTTGTATCTGGGTGCCTCTGCAAAGACAGTGATTATGTGTGAGTGAGGTGAAAATGTTGAATGATGATGAAAGAATTTTCTTTTTTTGGGGATTTTCTTTCTTTTTGGGTCACCCTGCCTCGGTGGGAGACGGCCGACTTGTTGAAAAAAAAAAAGTTATGGTAAAAAATACCGACAAGTTGAAAAATAAGACACATGTGCAGTGGTTAGTTATCGTTAATCTGAAATGTTTTGCTTACGCAGTAACCTTCTTCAGTGGAATACAGAGGCAGCAGTAGAAGCAGCAGAGATGTGAAGACAATGTAGTCAGTCCATCACCTTTGAAGGCATAGTTTTGAGGTGGTCAGTCCCTCAGCCTGGAGAAGAGTTCATTTCCATAGTCTGGAACAATGTGAAACATTTTGAAATCTAGATACCTAACTGTTGCACATGCTTCTTATTTATCAAACCATACCACGGGTGGGGTTAGAACCCACGATCGGAGTGTCTCAAAACTCCAGAAAGCAGGTTCTAACCCCACCTGTGGTATGGTTTGTTTGCATCGTGTCATTACGATTTCGTGAGTCATACTCTTATTTATCAACTAGGTGAATTTTGTTGATTTTTTTTTTTATAAGATTTCTGAAATTGTCACTTTGTTTATGAGTTGGATGCTCATGGAGTTGGTTATCATTTTTTTTTTTATTATTATGATACACAAGTTTGAATTTAGGTTCTGAATGTGGAATGTTTTAGTTCTCTTTTGCTGGATATTCAGACTTGGTTAACTAATAGAAAATTGATACTAAATGATGGTTAGACAGATTTTGTTTATCAAGGACAGCCTCAGTGTAGTACAGAGTGGAGATTTTGGTGCTTTTGATTATGGTAGTGACAGTTTGTAGCTTGTGGGATCAGTGAGGGATCCAAATGTCTTCATGGATTCTTCATTGTTTAGTTGGACACATCAACCAAGTTGTTACATATATCTTTCCATTTTCAGATTTATAATATGCAATCAAATTGATTTTTGCAACCTTTTGTGTGTAGCTTTGTCTAACTACTTACTAAAAAGACTTCAATCTGTACTGAACTGCACAACTAGACTGGTATCGTCAGTGTCATATTGGGTTCCCACTAGTCCCTACTTGTATGATCTACATTGGTTCCCTTTTAAGGTAAGAATTGCATTTAAACTTTGTGTATTAAATTACAAAGCAATTATATTAAATGAACATAAGTATCTTGCTCTAGGTAGTAGGTTGGTAGACAGCAACCGCTCAGGGAGGTACTACCGTCCTGCCAAGTGAGTGTAAAACGAAAGCCTGTAATTGTTTTACATGATGGTAGGATTGCTGGTGTCTTTTGTCTGTCTCATAGACATGCAAGATTTCAGGTATGTCTTGCTACTTCTACTTACACTTAGGTCACACTACACATACATGTACAGGCATATATATATATATACACACATCCCTCTGGGTTTTCTTCTATTTTCTTTCTAGTTCTTATTCTTGTTTATTTCCTCTTATCTCCATGGGGAAGTGGAATAGAATTCTTCCTCCGTAAGCCATGTGTGTTGTAAGAGGCGACTAAAATGCCGGGAGCAAGGGGCTAGTAACCTCTTCTCCTGTATATATTACTAAATGTAAAAGGAGAAACTTTCGTTTTTCCTTTTGGGCCACCCTGCCTTGGTGGGATACGGCCGATGTGTTGAAAGAAAGAACATAAGTATCTTGCTCTAGGTAGTAGGTTGGTAGACAGCAACCGCTCAGGGAGGTACTACCGTCCTGCCAAGTGAGTGTACAACGAAAGCCTGTAATTGTTTTACATGATGGTAGGATTGCTGGTGTCTTTTGTCTGTCTCATAGACATGCAAGATTTCAGGTATGTCTTGCTACTTCTACTTACACTTAGGTCACACTACACATACATGTACAAGCATATATATACACACCCCTCTGAGTTTTCTTCTGTTTTCTTTCTAGTTCTTGTTCTTGTTTATTTCCTCTTATCTCCATTGGGAAGTGGAACAGAATTCTTCCTCCGTAAGCCATGCGTGTCATGAGAGGCGACTGAAATGCCGGGAGCAAGGGGCTAGTAACCCCTTCTCTTGTATATATTACTAAATTTGAAAGGAGAAACTTTCATTTTTCCTTTTGGGCCACCCCACCTCGGTGGGATATGGCCGGTGTGTTGAAAGAAAGAAAGAAAGAAAGAAGTATCTTGCTCTAGGTAGTAGGTTGGTAGACAGCAACCGCACAGGAAGGTACTACCGTCCTGCCAAGTGAGTGCAAAATGAAAGCCTGTAATTGTTTTACATGATGGTAGGATTGCTGGTGTCTTTTTTCTGTCTCATAAACATGCAAGATTTCAGGTACGTCTTGCTACTTCTACTTACACTTAGGTCACACTACACATACATGTACAAACATATATATACACACCCCTCTGGGCTTTCTTCTATTTTCTTTTTAGTTGTTGTTCTTGTTTATTTCCTCTTATCTCCATGGGGAAGTGGAACATAATTCTTCCTCCGTAAGCCATGCATGTTGTAAGAGGCAACTAAAATGCTGGGAGCAAGGGGCTGGTAACCTCTTCTCCTGTATATATTACTAAATGTAAAAGGAGAAACTTTTGTTTTTCCTTTTGGGCCACCCCTGCCTCGGTGGGATAGATAGGGCCAGTGTGTTGAAAGAAAGAAAGAAGTATCTTGCTGACGTGTTTGTACCTTTCACATCAGGCTAGGAAATGTTTCTGTGAGATGCCACAGATCTATTTAGACTGACTGAGTTTCGTTCTTTTGGTGAGAAATCATTTGCAGAAAAAGCTTGTCTCACATAGCTCCCAGGTTGTTCATCAGATTGCCAGTGTTTGTTAAAAGTCAGGAATCTGTTCATGTTTCTAAGTCTTAGTTGAAGTACTTTCTCTTTTCTAGAACTTATGATCCTGATGATCATACTGTCACTCATGAATATAAACTTTAGTATTTCATCATCATCATCATTTTTGTTGTATTTATGGCATGGTGTGCGAGTGCTTCAGAATTTCTTGAAAGAACAGGCACTCAGAAATAAAAAAAAAAAAATACAAATTAACTTTTTTAACACATAGACCTCTGAAGCAGGGTGACTTGAAAAAGAAGAAACATTATCATCATCACTCACTCAATCATTATCTTTCCAGAGGCATGCTGATACTACAGTTCAAAATCCAGCATATCTCCACCCTTCCTTCTGAGTGCAGGCACCGTACTTCCCACCTCCAGGAATCAAGTCCGGCTAATTAGACTTACTTATTAGGCTTCCTATAGCATGATTGCCAGTGCACTCAGCTCACATACTGAGGTCCAGGGGTTGATTCCCAGTATGGATTGAAACATTAGGATGTGTTTCCTTAAGATACCTGCAGTCTATGTTCACCTCTCAGTAAAATAAGTACCTGGGTGTTAGTCAAGTGGTGTAGATTGCATCCTGGAGAAAAAATTGACCTAATTTGCCCGAAAGGCTCTGCATAACAAGGGGCTTTCTATATAATAGTTGTCATTGATGTTAGCTAGGCCTGTATATCTTGTACATGTATTTGTAGGAATAAATATTATATTAATTTTTTATTGCTTCAGTTATTGTTGTTCATGATGCATACTGTTTACACTGTGAACAGATGTGAGGTACTATAATCAGGTTTAATCAAAGGAAGAGAAATTTGCTCCAATTTCTTGAAACAAAAAGCTCTTCCCCAGAATCAAGTACGTACTCATTACTTCTCTTGAAGGTAAAAACAGCTAGTAGAACAGTGTTTACACTAATTTTCCAATAATTTTCCATGAGTGTTAATGCAACGTGTGTTGCAGGTACACCAGAGTCCCACATTTGTTATTGTTAATGGCAGTGAGCAGCAACTGAATGTAGGAACTTCTGCACTCCTCTCACATGGTGACAAATTTGGCTTAATGAAGACACACTTTTGGTATAAGTAAGTTTATTCCAATGTCATTTTATTTTTTGTAGCTTTGGAAATAAGTTGAATAGGTACATGTGTGGGTGAGTGTGAGTTGGACCTGCTTAGCTTGGGCTCAAAGGCCTGCAGCAGTGCTCCTTCCTTTCTTCTTGAGCAGGTGTGACTTGGACTTCCCTAGTATGGGTGAAAGGGCCTGCTGTAGTGCTCCTTCTTTCTTGTGTTCTTGTGTATTGAAAACTATACCTTATTTTCTGGCATAAAAGGTGTGCTTTTTTTCTTAAAAAATCTTGGAAAATCATCCTGTGCCTTACATGCTAAGGGTCAGGGTCAGTGGTGGCTTTGGGTACTGGCAAATGGTGTTTTCAGTGGTAACAAAGCATACCAGTAGTAATTTCTTGATAATAATAAAATACAGTAAGGCCTCGATTTACAGTGCTTTGCTTTACAGCATTTTGCTAATACAGCCTCTCCTTACTTAATGAAGGAGTTCCGTTCCTAAGACCACGTCGGTAAACAAATTCGTCACTAAGTGAGGAGCATACTATAATGGTAGTGGGTTTGTGTTAACCATCTTTCATATTGTTTTAATGTCATGTTTGCACCATTTATAACATTTCTGGTATATTTTTAAATATTTATACAGTAGTGTACTGTATATTGTAATAAACGGTATAGAGGAAATCAGCTCTAATGTACATAATTTAGGTATATACTGTATACTTCAATTCAATTCAAGTTTATTCTCTATAAGGGTTACAATGTGGGGTTTACAGGTTTTGGGTATTGTGTGGTTTACATGTTATAAAATACTAATTACAGAGGGGGCCACTAGGACACCTAGCATGGCTAGGCATTTCGGGCAGACTTAGATTAATTCTTAACATTAACCCTTTGACTGTTTCAGGGCCCTGTCTGAAACTGTCATTCTATGTCGCCAAATATTCGAAAAAAAAAAAAATTATTTTTTCTTATGAAAATGTTAGGAATATTTTTACTAGTGTTTTAAGCCTAAAAAAAAATTTTTGCCATCAGTACTTACCGAGATATAGAGCCGCAAAGTTTGCAGAAATCGACGTGCGTATGGCAACAGCGGCGACTGCCGCCCGCCCGGTATTCTTTTATTTACTCTAATTCAAAGGTTTCTTGCATTTTTCAATATTTTTCTTTTCCAGGTAACTTATGTGGCTTGTGAGACCCAAAGTAAGGTGCATTGTTCAATATACACTCATTATTTACAACACAATAACAGAACAAACTTTATCACTATTAGTTTGTGTATACACTTTGTTTACACAAACAAACAATACAAAACAATGTTTATTACTATTGTTCCATAATATATATACATATGTACAGTCACTAACCACGTTCCTAGAACTGCTGCAGCTTGTGGAACTCTTTGAAACATGGGTATATGCAGAGGGGCACTTCACACTCCTCACACATAAAACGAGTGTCTCTGCGTGTTTGTGGGCGTTTTGTGGTATGCATACATACATAACACCTCTTCTGAGCATTTTTTCTTGGCAGTAGTAGGGGCCCGTGTATGGGGTATGATCACCAGGCCAAA